TTCATCTTCCAATGAAGAGGTTCTACAAGAGTTGCTCTTGCCAAATGAACGTTATGTGGTTGATGGAAATGAAAAGGAGGGTGAGGACCTTGAAGATAAAGATGAAGATGATGAGTGCATTGAGATGGAGACACCAAGTTGGGGAAGTGTAGAATTGCAAGGGAATGGTGATAAGAGCAACTTGGAGATGGTCCAAGTGAAGAAGTGCTCAAGAATGATGAAATTTGTGGCACACATGAGGAATGCCCTTCAATGGATGATACTCCCTTGGATGAGGACTTTAGAGTGATTTGGGAACCAGGAAGAGTCAATATTCTTAAAAGTGTAAGCCCTCATTGGCATATATTCATATCCAAGGATTCTAACTTCCTATTGGTGCATGACGAAGACCCAAGGTTTCCATTACTTGCTCAAGAAAAGGAAATTCAAGAAGAAGAAAAATGTGGAGATCAAGAAAAGAATCAAGCTCATGACTACTATCTTGATCCAAAGTTTAGGAAGAAATCCTTGATTGATTTATGGATCAAGAATGGATTTGAGGAAAGAGGCATGAAACTTGGAACGAAGAATGAGGGAATCCTAGCAATGGGAGTGGTGAACTTGATTTTAAAGGAACTTATTGATGGTCACCACTTAAAGTTATTTAGAAGAAAAGGTTGAAGAAAAAAGAAAAAGAGATGAACAATGAAGAAGATATCATAGTCTTGAAAGTGTATCATTGCAATTTCTTTGAAGAGAATATGCTACTTTTGAGCTTAAAAGAGTTCCTTAATGCTTGGCATTTAAGGACATTTTTTGAAGATAAAGTGGATGGAGAAAATGAACTCATCTTCATCCAATCATGCATGGATAGTTCCTTGAGAGGTTGAGTCGAGCTAGTGACGCTAAAATTAGCGCTTCATGGTAGGCACCCCATGTTATCTTTCATTTTATTGCACTTTACTTTCTTCTTTATTTTTCTTTACACTTTTAATTTTGATATATCATGTTTTCACTTGTGCTTTCATGTATATATGCTCTTGACTCTAGGAATGACACTAAGGATTATACTCAATTCCAAGAAGGCTTCATGATGATTCTTTAGCACAAGAAGATCCATTAGGGGAGTCTCATCTACCTTCTCTACTTTCTTTAATTATGTATAGTGTTTTACTTAGTGTAGATAGTAGAGATTGTGGTCCTTGTGCTTATTGTGCTATCCCTCGCCCTTGTTCTTTGTTGTCTTTCACATCGAGGACGATGTAATTTCTTTGTGTGTGTGTGTGGGGGGGGGGGGGGGGGGGGGGGACAAAAATTGAGAAATTTTTGAAAATTTCTCAAACTTTACTTGGATGACTCATTGTGCATTTTGACTATATCTCAGCCTAGGAGTGTTGAAATGAAGTGATTCTTGTGTAATTGAAAAGAAGACTCAAAGGGATAAAATTCTTATACGAACATGAAAGCCTAAAAAAGAAGCCACATGGGTCAAAATCGTCCTTGAAGTTGAAGTTCCAAACTTACTATCTAAAATTGACCACTGTTTGGTTTTTGGACCATATCTTGGCCTAGGAATGTCCAAATAAAGTGATTCTTGCTCCATTGGAAAGAAGACTCGGGATACAATTATAATGAAGACCATAGTTCCAAGTTATGAAGTTTTGAAGGCCAAAAGACATGGCCAAGTGCAAGGCTGTGTAATTTCAGTGCAAATTCCAGTGTGCACTGCCTTTTTGGACACGGCCACGGACATGGCCATGTCCCTGTCTGTGTCACCTGCGCTATACTTTATTTATGCACGAATTTTGTCATTTTTAACTTGGTTTTGGACCTTGTTCCAACCCTAGGCATTCTCTACTCATTTCTTTCATATTTTTAGGTTAGATTAGACTTAGATTTATGTTTCTTAACACTTTTGAAGCTTGTAATCTTGGATTTGAAGCTTGGATTCCAACATTTCAAGATTCCACCATCCATTTTCAATAGAGTAGCTGTCTTCCCCTTATATCTTTCTTTTGCAAGATTTATGTTTAATGCTTGTGTTTTTGTATTCTTTATGCTATTTAATCATGAGTAGTTAGTTTATGGACTTGAGTTAGAGTTGTATTTTCTATCTTGATGCTTGATTTGTGATTATTGCAAAAAGAGGAAGAACTCGAACGTAGGGTTCTTGAGTTTTTGAAGGATTTGTGTTTGTATATTGTTAATGCTTGGTGTACAACATTCATTGGCATGTTTTGGAGGATTCTTGGCCTCAATGAGAGTTGGGTCAAGATTCCAAGCCACTCCTTACATAAACTTGATTTTTTCTATGAAAATGGGGGAAATTGGGGGTTTTAGATGCTTTGTATTTTTGAAGAACTTGGAGTTGATTCACCAAGAGAGTGGGGCAATTCCTTGTTCTAATCCTTATTAATTTGCTCATGTGAGTGACTTATAGACTAGGATTCCTATGTGCATCCCCTCTATTCCTTAGTTTTGTGATTTTCCCCAATCCTTAGGTTGTGCTATGCATCTAGAAGATAATGTTTTCTAGCTTGAGTCCTATTTCTTTATTTCGTCTTTACATCTTGTTAATATGTGTTTGTGTTACTTTGTTTAGTTATCGTAGCCTCAATCTCGTTATGATTTGCTTAGCTTCTTATTGATTTCCTTATGCTAGTGCCTAGTTTCTTGTGATTGCATATTGCGTGCCATAACCCCCAATCCCTTGAGGACGACAGTACATTACACACTCGAGCTCACATCTTAGTTTTGCTACACACACACACACACACACACACACACACACACACACACACACACACACACACATATATATATATATATATATATATATATATATATATATATATATATATATATATATATATATATATATATTATATATATATATATATAAAATAATAATAATAATAATAATCTGTTTTCTATTCCAATTATTTTATCAAATTAATTATGTTTCATATTTTGTTGTGAATATTTTTATAAAGTTTTGATGTGTTTTATTTTTCGCACATATCTAACAATATTTATGGCTATACTTCTTTTAAGTGTTTCATTTTTTTTTTTCTTCAAACTATCTCTTTTGTTATATTTCACCCCCACTGAAAAAAGTTTCTGGATCCGCCCCTGACAACATGCCTTAGCATGATTATGAAAAAAAATGGGTATTCATATCCCCCTCCTTAAGCCAAAAATGCTTAGCACGACGCCGGCAATACCCACTCACTCCCTAACAACCCCATATAAGCCCTATGAGCATCCTCAATCTCCCTCAACCCTCTCATATCCCATCTACCCCGTAACTTCTCCATACGAGTCCTCTCCTACCTAAACTCCTTCTTACGCTGCCCACCCCACACTTTCAACCTTTCCCCACATCCATTAATTTTTTGCGTAATAGCCTCCACTACCACACTCCCTCAAGCATCCGCCTCCAACTCCCTGCACCCATCCTCCTTTACCCAGGTTTGTTCGAACCGAAAGGAAACCCCTGCCTCGCTTCCCGTACTGGAACAAGAAGCAAAGGCAGGTGGTCGTTGCCCACACATTGTATCGACGTAGCCCAAGCCCCTCTAAACATATTTCCCCAATCGGCAGAAACCAGAATGCCATGCATTTTTTCCTGGACCTAGCTAGCATAACCACGCCCACTCTCCCAAGTAAATTGTTACCCGCCGAAAGGAAAATCAATTAATCCACAATCCCTCACTGCCTCCCCTAAACCCCTTAACAAATACCCTGGATGAGGAACCCTTCCCACTTGTCCATATGATCAGGAATGTCATTAAAATCCCCCATGATTACCCAAGGTAAGGAAAAAAGTGAGGACGAATGTTGTGGCCACGTGAATTGTTGAGAATATTTTAGAGCTAGTTATATTAATTAATTAATTAGGATGATTATCTTTAAATTATTTTAGATTTAGTTTGTTAGAATTATATTATTGTTTAAGTTTATCCTAGTTTGTTGATTAGGATTAGTTTATTTTATTTTTAATAATGATCTCATTTATGTGGTTGTAATATGTTTGTTAATGGCTATTTAAGGTCATTGCATGTCAAATAAAATACAGAGTTCAGATTGAATTTTTGAGTTAGAAAACTGAGCGTTTTCTGGAACTCGGATGAGTTCAGCCGTGAGTTGGTCATGGCAAACCTGACTTATCAAGTGTGGAACCTCACTTGTGGCGTCGTTCCTGCTCCTACGTATCACCTTATAACCCGGTGTGGTCGAGGACTTATCAAAACCCAAAAATTAACCCTTTTTTCAACCCAATTTAAACCTCCATATTCAATTTCACCTAGCCTAATAAATGATTTTTAAAATACTCTTTAAATTAGAGTGTCAAGAGAAGATCGGGCCAACTAGATTCGCATCATTTGGTATCAGAGCTTTAATTTGAGTCAAATCCTTATATGAACAGTTTACAATCATTCCCATAAATTTTGAGCTTATTCTAAGTGTCATATACGAACTTCATTCATATATTCTACCATATGATCTCGATCCCATCTTTCTACTTGGTTTAATTCATAAATTGTTTTTACATTAATTAGTAACTACCCCAAACAAACATAGATTCTGCAGAAATTTTCAGTCTACCCAGTTAGAGAAAAAAATTCCAAAAAAATACTTCCGGTTGTCCTTTTGCCTTGAAAATTTTTGTGGACATAGCCAGCCTATTTTTCTTTCTGACCAAAAAAAATTTTCAAAATATTATTCTCAGAAATACAGAAAAAATCTGTGAATCCACCCTACTGAATGAAAATTTCTGTGTATTGTCTGTTGTATTCTATACTGTCTTATGATTGATATCACCTCGATTTGTTGCTAGTATGATGAAAAAAGAAAAAGTCAAGGAAAGAAGATTGAAAAAAAAAAGAAGAAAAAAAAAACAAAAAAAAAAGTGAGAAACAACATTTGGAATTCCTTGTCTCATATTGATCATTTGTTTTTTCCCAAATATTAACCTTTCTGTGAGTTTAGTCATTTTTGGGTTAAGTTTCTTGACTTAGTCTTAAACTCTGAAAGAACTCCACAGGACAAGACTTGTTTTACTACTTGAGTGAATTTTATTTGTGAGATCATTAGAGCGTTTTATTATACATGAGTGGTAAAATAACTAGTGATCACCCCATTAAAGAGTGCAAGTGAGGGAGTGACGTGAGGTCCAATTCTCATACTTGGGGCGGGTTAGGAAAATGTCGAGTCCTAGTGAGATTGATGAGCAAGAATTAAGTCTTGACATGCGTCTCATGATGAGAGCCATTAAGGGACAATTTGCTAAAATGACCGATGTGATTGAGGGGTTGAACGGTCGAATAGAGATAATGGAGGGAGATAGGAGACCAAATCAGCAAAATGAAGGTCAAAATGAGAGGCAAAATGAGAGGGTGAATGTGAGAGCTAATGAGAGAAGGGAAAAAGGCAGTACAAGTGAGGGAGAAGAATATGATAGGAGAAGAAGAGGAAATAGAGGATATAGGAGGGATAGGGATGAGAAAGATGATGACATTGGGAACATTAATGCACATATTCATAACTTTACCGGTAAGAGAGATCCTGATGTTTATTTAGAATGGGAGAGGAAGGTAGACAGAATTTTTGATTGCCATAACTACTCTGAAAGAAAAAAACTTAAGATGGTGATACTAGAATTTAGTGATTTTGCTACTCTTTGGTGGGATAAAAAGGTGTTGGATAGGAGAAGGGGTGGGGTTAGAGAGGTAAGAAGTTGGAGAGAAATGAAGGTGATGATGAGAAAGAAATGGGTCCCTGCTTCATGCCAACGAGAATTACATCAACAATTACAAGAACTTGTACAAGGCAGAATGTCTGTAGCTGAGTATGACCATGAGGAGCAGAAACTCTTGACAAACTTGGAATTACAGAAGAGCCTGAAACTACTATCTCTAGGTTTATCAAGGGGTTGAATTGGGACATTCAAGATGAAATTGAAATGTGTGACTTCTTGGATTATGAAGAGATGGTTCAAATGGCCATCCAAGTTGGAAAAAAAAAACCTTAAGAAAAAGAAACTAAGGGCTTAGAACTGGAGGTCAAGCAGAGAAGTGAAAAGAGACTTCAAGCCCAAAGGAGAAGCGAGCAAGTCTATTAACAAAGGTAAGGACAAGGTCGATATTGCTACCAACCGGACTAGCAACATCAAATGTTTCAAATGCCAAGGTAAAGATTGTCCTAACAAAAGAAATGTGATTTTGCTTGATTCAAGGGAATTTGAAACTGATCCAGAATCTGAGGAGGAATCTAGAGCTCCTAGTGGAGGTGAAGATAAAATTCTATGTCCCACTGAAGGAGATATGTTGATGGTGAGAAGATTGTTGAGCTTGCAAGCTAGAGGGGAAGAAGAGCAAAGAGAAATCATATTTCACACTAGATGTCACATTGATAACAAAGTGTGTAAGCTTATAATTGACGAGGACAGTTGTACTAATGTAGCTAGTACTGAACTAGTTACAAAGCTAAGATTGAATACTACTGAGCATCCTATGCCATACTCTCTACAATGGCTAAACAAAAATGGAGAAATCAAGGTTGACAAGCAGGTGCTAGTTCCGCTCTCCATTGGAAGGTATACTGATGAAATTTTATTTGACGTAGTCCCCATGCAGGCTGCACATGTGCTCTTAGGGAGGCCTTGGCAATTCGATAAGAAGACCATCCATGAAGGTTTTAGTAATAAATACTCAATTGTACATGAAGGAAAGAAAGTAACTCTTGTACCTTTGACTCCTAGTCAAATTCATGATGATGAGAAAAAAAAAAACAAAAGAAAAAGAGAAAAAAGAAAAATAAGATAGAAATGAAAAGAAAAAAAGTAAGCAAAAGAAAGAGAGAAGAAAAAAATCAAACATATTCTGCAAAAGAAAAGAAATTGAGAGAGTTATTGATGTCGGACATTGTATAATTCTTATGCTTTACAAAGGGTCTGAACTAGCCAACCTTGAGCATTTGCCCGAGGCTATTTCTTCTTTAATGCAGGTTTTTGATGATGTATTTCCAGAGGAGATTCCAAGTGGGTTACCTCCTATGAGAGGAATAGAGCACCAAATAGACTTGATACCCGGGGCTCCTATTCCAAATAGACCTGCTTACAGATGCAACCCCGAAGAAACTAAAGAAATTCATAAACAAGTGGATGAGTTAATGGAAAAAGGACAAATAAGGGAGAGTTTAAGTCCTAGTGCTGTACCAGTATTGCTGGTGCCCAAAAGGATGGGTCATGGAGGATGTGCATAAACTGCCGAGCTATAAACAAGATTACGGTGAAATTGATTCGTGGACGAATCTTTCTAAGGGGGAGGGAGATGTTGAGGACAACTATGAGGATGAGAATAAAGAAATAGATCATTTGCCAACCTTGGGAGGTCCAATGACGAGAGCAAAGACGAAGATATTTCATGAATCTTTGAATGGCCTTATTAAAGGAGTAAGTGAAGCTAATCAAGAATATGAAGATGGAATTGAGTTGAAGGTGGTCAATCTGATTCATGAATAATTTGAGGAATAAAGATCGAGTGGAGGTTCATACCTTATAAATTGACACTTTGGAGTATTTCTTTCTTGCAAATAAAAGTTTAAAACTATTTTAGACCGTCCTTATGCTATTTAATTTGTAAAGTCCAAATTAGGCTATAAAATCCTAAATTCAATTATAATTTAGTTTTTTTTTAAAAAAAAAAACATATTTGACTTAGTAGTTATTCTAGTCTTGTTGCTAGTTGCATCTTTTAAGCTAGTATAGCACTAGAATAGCTCATTTTGAACTTAAAAGCTATTGATGTAGGGGCTTGCTAAAGTGTATAAATAGCCTTGCCATTAATTTGTTTGACAGACAACTTTGATAGTAGTAAATTCAAGAATATTGTTGTGCCAATTTTTTTTTCCTTGAGTTCTTGAGGAGTATTTTGACTTATCTTGAAATTTATCTCCTAAGTGGCGTCAACTCTTATCTCCATCCGTGGAGTGGCGAGACTTCACACCACCACCTTCCTTCCTTTGCTTCCATCGCCCAACCATCTTGCTTTCTTAACCGGAGCCCACAACAATTTTGGTACCAGAGCCCACGGTTGTCTCTTCACGAAGACTCATGGAGCTTTAGCGGCGCATGGAACGTGGATCCGAGGACAAATCTGTCTAAAGAGAGAGGAAATGTTGTGGCCACGTGAATTGTTGAGAATATTTTAGAACTAATTATATTAATTAATTAATTAATTAGGATGATTATCTTTACATTATTTTAGATTTAGTTTGTTAGAATTATATTATTATTTAATTTTATCCTAGTTTGTTGGTTAGGATTAGTTTATTATATTTTTAATAATTATCTCATTTATGTGGTTGTAATATGTTTCTTAATGGCTATTTAAGGCTATTGCATGCCAAATAAAATACAGAGTTCATATTGAATTTTTAAGTTAGAAAATTGATTGTTTTCTGGAACTTGGATGTGTTCGGCCGTGAGTTGGTCATGGCAAACCTGACTTATCAAGTGTGGAACCTCACTTGTGGTTAGTGTTGCAAAAATCACGCCTAGGCACTCTAGGCGTCCTAGGCAGTCCCCAGGCGCCTAGCGATTTTTTCAACATTGCTTGTGGCGTCGTTCCTACTCCTACGTATCACCTTATAAGCCGGTGTGGTCGAGGACTTATCAAAACTCAAAAATTAGCCCTTTTTCCAACCCAATTTAAACCTCCATATTCAATTTCACCTAGCCTAATAAATGATTTTTGAAATACTCTTTAAATTAGAGTGTCAAGAGAAGATCGGGCCAACCAGATTCGCATCAAGGCACCTTAGCCGATTCCAAGACTCCAACCGGTTGGACCGATTCGGACATCCATAGAAGTCAGTAAAACGCCATGGGGCTTGGTCAGCTGCTTCACGGATCATCGAATCTATGAAGTAATGAGAGAACCCCAAAATCTCTAGCTCAATATCATCTCTTCATAACAGTGCCAGACCGCCGCTCCTCCCTATCGCATCCCCACACAAACAACTTATAAACCCCAATTGCGCGCACACACACCTTCCATAAAACTCTTATTTAATAGTTTCATATTAAAAAAAAAAAGAAAAGAAAAGAAAAAAAAAAAACTAGGCTTATGTTTTCGGACCAAGTCCAATAAAACTTGAATTGTCACAGGCGGGCCAAGCCCATAATAATTCCAAGCTAAGGTACTCATTGGGCCTGGCGGGCCTACTCAGCAGCACCCGCCCCATGAGAAGAAAAGACAAGAAGATCCATATGCATTGGGCTGTTAATGGACTTAGGCCCATTAATATCCTCCTCAGTGCCCACACGTCAACGCTTCTGCTCAACCATCACCACGCCCTCATCCCTCAACTCTTTCCCCATTAAAGGCATTAAAATGTCATTATTCACTCCCCTGTTCCGCACCCACAACCCCTTTCATTTTATCATTAATGGAGACATTAATGCCAGAGCCGTTACAACCCTCCGTTCCCTGTTTCTCGGCCTCCGGTCTATTAGACGACTAGTTTAGCACCAGCGACTTGTTCGTCATCGACGCCGCCACATTCCGACCACCAGCCCGGAGCTTCGGACCAAAACTCCCAACAATCTCAGCCTCACTCTTACCAAACACAGAAGGACAAAAACGTTCAGAATGTCCAATAATGCCGCATGCAAAACAAAAATTTGGAAGTCTTTCATACTTGAGTTCCACCCAGAACCATTCGCCGCCCGATCGCTTCATTTTCATAGTCTTCTTGAGAGGTTTTGTAACATCAATAGAGACACGAACACGAAGAAACTTCTTCCATATCACATTGAAATCCACCGGGTCCGAATGAATAAAACCGCTAATATAATTACCCACCACCTTCACCACTTTCTCTTACATAAATCCGATGGGCAGCTTGTGGATTTTGAACCCAAAAATTCGTACTAGTCAACGGACTGTTTCGAGATTCTCATCATGGTGAACAGGCCGAAGAACTACCAAGTTCTGATCAAAAGACCATGGACCGTCTTCAAGAACTC